AGTCAACTGGCACGACAGTGGGCTCTGAGTCAACTGGCAGGATGGTATTGGTTGGAAAGAATTTTCGCCTTTTCCTGGTTTTAGTTACTGGAGCACTGTAAGTAAACGCAGGTCTGTAAATGAATGGAGCAGCTGAAGACAGAGAAGAGCTGGAGGATGGAACAAAGGAGGGAGCAGCAGTTGCTACAGAGGACTTATTTACAGGGTTGAAGAAAGGATAGGTGCAGTGAGTGGGAGCAGGGGACTGGTATGTGGTAGTTAGCAGAGTATACTGGGCCATCACTGGGGGTGCTGTCGGGGATGCAGGAAGAGTGCCTTGAGCAGAGGAATGATGTTGCAAGCTGACTGAGGCTGGGTGTAACAAGTCTGTCCATGTCTGCAGTACTGGTTTAACAAAACTCAGCTTACACATAGCCTGTCTGATCAAAGACTGCACTGCGTTTATGCAATCCATAAGCACGTGTGATGGACATGCTGCATAGTGCTCATGGAAACAATCTGGATCCTCCTCCAACAACCATACCAGTGATTCCACTTGATCCACACTAAATGGGGTAAAAAAGTAATTCCTGCTTTCAGGGGTGCAGGACCAAGCCAACTCAGCACAAACCTGGATCAATGGCTGCACCTCAGAGAACTCTGTGCCCTGATCTACTAGGCAATGAGCGATCCGTATACATTCTAGCAGTTCATCCCGGGGATACTCCTTCAGAGTCTGATAAGCATATTCTCTGTCATCAAACACTAGCAGAGATAAATACACAACCTCATCAAGATCCATCCTTCCCATCAACAAACCAAGATGGCTTCCCTGTGCAGCCACTTCTGGTCAGGATTGGCCGTGGTGTAATGTCAGGAATCAGGGTATGACCAGAGGTGTGTGGACTGACACAGGGAAACGCAGGCTTCAGATATGGTATAAACAATATAATTTATTAAGACTAACAATACAAAACGCAGTGCAAAACTAAACATAAACACAGTGCAAACAAACCAGACCACCCACAGATAAGAATACATACAATGCAAGAGTCGTCAGGCAGGCCGGGTCAGTAGCAAACGGAGTACCAGGAACAGGCGGGAGAGTGGTTGGGGTCACAAGCTGGGTTCAGTAACTCACGGGCAGCGTGGTGCAGAGGGTCAGGCAGAGAATGGTCAGGGTCACAAGCCAGGGATCAAACAGGAGAAGTCAGCAGAGGTCAGGATCAGGCAGGGTCGGCAACAAGTCAGACAGGAACAAGAATACAGGATACAAGATACAGGGGCCCATGGAAAAACACACACACCACGGCCTTCACTGTGAGTTGGCCATTCCTTAAATACAACCCCTGTAATCAGCTTCAGGTGTTTGGCTGATTGCAGGGGTGAGTCTCTGATTGCTGAGAGCACCCGCTGGCCAGCCCTGGTACTGCAGCCCACACAAGGCAGGTGAGTCCCACCATTATTGGCCAAGTCCATTCCTGACACAATGGTCGGGAAATCTGTCATAACATCACTTCTGGGTCAGGACAAGAAGGGAGTGAACGTGTCCGCTCTCCTCCATCCCCTCACACCCTCCGACACCCACTGAACCGGGCCAACAGATGGGCAAGCAGATCCGGGGAAGCATAGTAGGTACAGGAGAGGTTCACACACACGGGGTGGTAGAGGCTGGCATCTGAAAGGAGAGCCCTGTGGCTTGCCCTCAGCAGGGATAAAGATTAAAAACAATACTTGCCCGGCCCCCAGAACTACATGTCCCGGCGTCGGGCGATGTAAAGTGACCATCCCTGCATGATGAGCCCACATTGACCTCACAGCACTGCCTCAGAGCAGACTAGTCATAGGAAGGATCAGATTTATCATTCCTTGTCTGCAGATCTAATACTCATCAAAACCAGTTCAGAGACCAAACAAACCCAACAGAGAAAAGGGGCCCCGGACCTCAAAATTGTAGTAAACACTAAACATTTCAAACAAAATGTCTTCCCATGGGGGGAGTAGTAGTTCTTCAATGTCCATCAACCCTCCTATTCCCCCCTCACATCCACATCCTATTATTGTGTGACCAATACCATCCAAATCATTCTTACTTTCATTTCCCAAAGTTATCCGTCTACAAGGAGACCTGTATAGATCACATGATGGCACCAATGAGGATGGAGGAGGACCGGAGTCACATGACTGAGAAGATACTAAACCTCACCCTGGAGATCATCTACCTGCTGACCGGAGAGGTGAGGAGGATTCTGGGAGGTCACATGACATCACTCTCATCTCTATTAATAAAAACACACAGACCTGACCGGAGAGGTGAGGAGGATTCTGGGAGGTCACATGACATCACTCTCATCTCTATTAATAAAACACAGACCTGACCGAGAGAGGTGAGGAGGATTCTGGGAGGGTCACATGACATCACTCTTATCTCTATTAATAAAACACAGACCTGACCGGAGAGGTGAGGAGGATTCTGGGAGGTCACATGACATCACTCTCATCTCTATTAATAAAACACAGACCGACCGGAGAGAGGTGAGGAGGATTCTGGGAGGTCACATGACATCACTCTCATCTCTATTAATAAAACACAGACCTGACCGGAGAGGTGAGGAGGATTCTGGGAGGTCACATGACATCACTCTCATCTCTATAATAAACACACAGACCTGACCGGAGAGGTGAGGAGGATTCTGGGAGGTCACATGACATCACTTCTATCTCTATTAATAAACACAGACCTGACCGAGAGGTGAGGAGGATTCTGGGAGGTCACATGACATCACTCTCTATCTCTATTAATAAAACACAGACCTGACCGGAGAGGTGAGGAGGATTCTGGGAGGTCACATGACAATACATTAATAAAACAGACCTGACCGGAGAGGTGAGGAGGATTCTGGGAGTCTAACATGATATTCCTATTGGTTCCTCAATACAGAGATTTCCTCTTCTGAAGTCAGGTGATCATATAACCATCACAGTGCCTCCATGTGACTCCCTAAACCCTGAGAGACACAACATGGAGAAGATTCTAGAAGTCAACAAGAAGATGATGGAGCTGCTGACAGGAGAGGTGAGCGGTGCCGGGAATTCTGGGACATTCTCCAGTAACAGACAAGGGATGTGTCTGGATGGTGACTGTATCATTGTGTGTGTCAGGTTCCTATAAGGTGTCAGGGTGTCACTGTCTATTTTCTCCATGGAGGAGTGGGAGTATTTAGAAGGACACAAGGATCTCTACAAGGACGTCATGATGGACAATCAGCCGCCCCTCACATCACCGGGTAAGAGGAGACTTTATTGTAAAGGAGAGAGCAGTACGGAGGATCCACCTAGATCCCCCATCATCTGATAAAACACATAGAAACAATGGATTCAGTCAGTGTGTGTGTTTCCTACAGATGGATCCAGTCATGGGAACCCACCAGAGAGATGTCCCCGTCCTCTGTATTCCCGGGATTCCACACAGGAAGGTCACACACATCCCTCACCATCATCAGGTAGATGATGACAATTATTGGTAGTTGTGATTTATACACAGCATGTTTGTTACAATGAATGTTTTATTATATCTTTCAGAGTGGAATCCTCGGGGATGATAATATTGATGTTAAAGAAGAGTATAAAGAGGAGGATGAGGAGTATGGAGTGATGGAGGAGTTTTCAGAAGGACACAAGGATATGATGGAGTCACCTAATACCAGGAACCCACCAGAGAGATGTCCCCGTCCTCTGTATTCCCGGGATTCCACACAGGAAGGTCACACCATCCCTCACTGTTACAAGGTTGGTGGGATGGAGAATCTAGAACATGGACTTGTGGAGACAATGTGTGGATATTTTATGTGACCTTATATTTTACAGATGATATTTTTCTCTCATTTCCTTGATTTAGAGTGGAGATCCAATCGATATAGAATTTGAGGTGAAAGCAGAAGAAGAAGAGGCGTATGTGAGGGATGATCAGCAGTCTATGGAGGAGGATGGAATAACGGGGACATTTATAGAGGAGGACACTCCTACAGAGATCAGCACAGGTGGGTCATGAACACTAAATCCATTCCTCCACCCATACTGCTCACTGATTGGTCCAGAGTAGGGCGGGGACTGGGTGATATCAGCCTGTAATCCCCTGGTCACTTTCCTGAGCTGTGTTCCCCGTCCTGTATTCCTGGATTTCTCTCGGATAATCTTCCTTCTCTGTGCTGCAGACACAATTTATGTCTCTAGACTGGATTTATGGAGGTTCTGGGGTTCAGCTGGCAGCAAAATGTTGATTTTCACCCTACACAATCCTAGTCCTAGGCCCGTAGGGCATGTGCTTTTGATCTTTTGCACAATGTCCAAGTCTAGTAAGATCTCTGACAGAACAATTCTCCCAGGGTTCCTTGCTCTGTGGTCTGCTGGCTGTGCCGGGTGGAGGGATATGTCTGTATAGTCTCAGGCCCAAGTCACTGAGTGCAGTCTCAGGAGATGGGAGGCAGCGGTGTGGGACCTCTGCAACTTGTCTCGTGTAGACATTTAAAGTGGTTGTAAACCCTCCTGTAATCCCCTCATCACTGTCCCTCCTATAAAAGACAGTTCTGGTTGTTTCCTCACTCTCTGACTGAGGTCCATGAATAAAGAAATGACCTGGTAGGAGATCAGAGGAGCCATTTCCTAGTTCCCTTGAGGGTGGAATTGTAAGCTCCTAAGAGACCAAGCTGCCTGATGTGGGCGGAGTCCTGGTTTGGGGGAACCAATCAGCTCCTGTCTAGTAATCCTCTTTGTCTTTGTATTTTAGTCCATGGCCGGGAGATGAGGAAAACCTCCGAGGATTGTCTCACTTTGTCTCCAGACTGGAAAGTAGAAGATGAGGACATCACACAGTATAGTCCAGGAGAAAACCCGGCTCCCTCCAATGTCCATCCGGCACCACCCAGTGTAGATGGACCATCGGATTCCTCATATCCTGAGGAACCTCAGACTGTGCGGGACCGGGCCGGCCTTCTAACAGAGAAGAGATTCTCCTGTACTGAGTGCGGGAAGGGGTTCCGTTATAAATCCCATCTTAATGTGCATAAAAGATGTCACACAGGGGAGAAGCCGTATTCCTGTCCTGAGTGTGGGAAATGTTTTTCACATAAGGGCAATCTTGACACACATCAGAGATCTCACACGGGGGAGAAGCCGTATTCCTGTCCTGAGTGTGGAAAATGTTTTTCAGTGAAGACCAGTCTTTACAACCATCAGAGATCTCACACGGGGGAGAAGCCGTATTCCTGCCCTGAGTGCGGGAAATGTTTTTCACATAAGTCACATCTTGACACACATCAGAGAACTCACACGGGGGATAAGCCATATTCCTGCCCTGAGTGCGGGAAATGTTTTTCACAGAAGTCCAGTCTTTACAAACATCAGAGATCTCACACAGGGGAGAAATTCTATTCCTGTCCTGAGTGTGGGAAATGTTTTTCACATAAGTCACATCTTGGCACACATCAGAGATCGCACACGGGGGAGAAAACCGTATTCCTGTTCTGAGTGCGCAAAATGTTTTTCACAGATGTCCAGTCTCTACAAACATCAGAGATCTCACACGGGGGAGAAGCCGTATTCCTGTCCTGAGTGCAGGAAACGTTTTGCAGAGAAGTCCAATCTTTACAAACATCAGATTTCTCACACGGGGGAGAAGCCATATTCCTGTCCTGAGTGCGGGAAACATTTTGCACAGAAGTACCAACTTTACACACATCAGAGAATGCACACGGGGGAGAAACCGTATTCCTGTCCTGAGTGTGGGAAATGTTTTTCATTTAAGTTCCATCTTTCCAGGCATCAGAGATCTCACACGGGGGAGAAGCCGTATTCCTGTCCTGAGTGCGGGAAACGTTTTGCACAGAAGTACCAACTTTACACACATCAGAGAATGCACACAGGGGAGAAAGCCGTATTCCTGTCCTGAGTGTGGGAAATGTTTTTCTGTGAAGTGCCATCTTGTCACACATGAAAGGTCTCACACGGGTGAGAAGCCGTATTCCTGTCTTGAGTGCGGGAAATGTTTTTTAGACAAGTCCAATCTTTACAAACATCAGAGATCTCATACAGGGGGAGAAGCCGTATTTCTGTCCTGAATGTTGGAAATTTGTTTCACAGAAGTCCCATCTTTCCATACATCAGAGATCTCACACGGGGGAGAAGCCGTATTCTTGTCCTGAGTGTGGAAAATGTTTTTCCACAGAAGTCCTATCTTTCTATACATCAGAGATCTCACACGGGGGAGAAGCCGTATTCCTATCCTGAGTGCGGAAAAGTTTTTCACAGAACTAGCTTTACAAACATCAGAGATTGCACACGGGAGAAGCTGCTTTCTACTCCTGAGTGAGGGAAATGTTCCTCACTGAAGTTCTGTCTTCCTGTACATCAGGGGTCCCACACAACCCTGGAGGTGTATTAGTGCCTTGAGTGCGGGAAATGTCTTCTAGATGAATGTTGCTGGACATCCCAGCTCTCATGTGGGGAAGAAGCACACCCTGATATACACTCAGATATACTCCATGGCTGATCTTCATCATGGAAGAAACAGTTGATAAGGAGATCATAGGTTCCCAAAGACATGGATGAAGTGTGGGACCGGGTTGGCCATTGATGGCAAGAGAAGAAGAAAAATGGAGTCCTGCCCTGTGATTGAGTACAGTTTGTGGTGGGAGATTTCACAAACACTTGGAGGTCTATTATTCATACTTTGTGGACAAATGTTCCAAGCACTCATTAGGCCCACAGTTGGAGGTGAGGATAATACTTTCATGGTGGGGGATCACTGAAGAGGTGGGTGGTAATAAAATGTCCCAATTCTAGAAGAGTGACTGATGGTGTACACATGGAAGCAATGGAATTGTGTGTATACCGGGAATGAAGGAGTGATTGGTGAATGCACATATTGGGACTTTCCCGTGTCTTTCTCCATACATGTTTCTTGTATGTTTCCCGTGATACAAATGTCTGTGTATATGATCGGCACATGATGGTCTGTCTATGACAAACGTTTCATTGATCTGATCATTTCCATGGTGATTGTGGACACATTGGCCCTGATTTACTAAGACGTGAGTCTACCAGCAGACTCTGACCATTCAGGCAGACTCAGTTAAATCAATGAGGACCTGTCAGTCCTCTGAGCGACGTCTAGCAATCTCATTGATAAACGTCTACTTTACTATTAGTAAATGTGGAATCACGTCTGGCACATTTTTAGGTGCAATACCGGATATGTCCACTAGATGGCGCAGGCTTTGTACCATTGGCGCTTTCCTGTTGGCATAAGAGAATACTTAGAATGTAACATAATTAGTACACCGAGATTAGAATTGTTTTGTTTTGCTGTTTCTCCAAAATGATGAGACAACTAATGCATTTACTAATGAATGTCATACATTCTATTTTCAGATGTTAAACATTTTCACACTTATATCTGAAATAATTGGAATGTCTAGTTCTAAGTTCCCAATATAATGATATATCTTCCTTCTCTGTAATCATGTAACTATTCTATGTTAAGGTATTACTGCGCATGGGTTATACACATCACACATCTGGGGGTGCAGCGGTATGCTGGCAGCTATGGGCTAGTCATCCAGCTCCATCCATCCATCCATCCATCATCAGGGTGGGTGCCCAAATGTCCTGGGGAGGAATTAGCTCAGCCACAGGAGCCAGAAAGGTTCTTAATAGTGTAGTAACACTGTCACAGGGGTGGATGACCTTTCACGTGTTCATGCACTACTGTCCGTCACGGATAAACCACGCGTGCCATTGATAGGCACTCCCTGAGCTGGTACTCTCACACCAAGGACATTCCATTATTCACGAATGATTAGATGAACTTTTTTTTAGCACCATTTACCAGTTTACATCATCATTAATGGGCAGCACAGTGGCTTAATGGTTAGCATGTCTGCCTTGCAGTAAATGGGTCATGGGTTCAATTCCTGACCATGGCACCTCCTGCATGGAATTTGCATGTTCTCCCTGTGCTTGCATGGGTTTCCTCCGAGTACTCCAGTTTCCTCCCACACTCCAAAGACATGCTGGTAGGTGTATTGATTCCTCTCCAAATTGGCCCTAGTGTATGAATGTGAGTTAGGGACCTTAGATTGTATGCTCCTTGAGGGTTAGGGGCAGATGTGAATGTACAATGTATGTGTAAAGCACTGCGTACATTGACAGCACTGTATGTTCTGTCTTGGCATTGGTTGTACTTGTGGTGAGATTCGTGTAGACCCGGTCTGTAAGAATGTGTGCAGCAAGTTGAATGATCGCCTTAACAGATAGTTGACTCAATGAATTCAACTTCAGAGGTGTCTTCCAATGCTTCTTTATGCTTCCAGGTAGCAAAGGTATGAACATAAAGGTGTTTTCATAGGTCCATTTCCAGTGATGTCACACAGCTTCCTCACTTTACAGTGTCTTCATAACCACTAAACAAAAGGGGTGTTACAACAGGAAATGGAGGGTGGAAGCAACCAACTAGTCAGAAACAGCAGGGGTGTGTGGAGGATACCAAATAGCATGATAACATAACATGTAATAACAACTGTTAAACAGTAAAGCTGCGTGGCAGCACACTGTAAGAGTACCTGAAATAAATAAATGATTGCACTTTTTGGATTTTCCATGCGTTGATTGATAACATGCATTTATAGCGCTGCACTATTACTGTAACATATTTCTATTCTGGGACTGTTGCCAATACCCTGAGTGCTAGCTGCTACCTTCATATCTATACCTAGATTTATATTGATCTTGCGTAATACCATTTTAGTAGTCTATATAATTTGACCAGCGCTCGCTGTATCATTATTTTGTAAACAATGTAACTATTCTACATTGCAGCTCAAACTCTGTCTCCTCCAGTGGCTGAGTGGTTAGAACTCAGAACTTACAGCACTTGGATCATGGGATCTAATCCCAGTCATGGCTGCATCTCAGTTTGCATGCTTTCTCTGCACGGCTGTGTTTCTGCCAACACTCCAAAGACATGCTGTTAGGTTAATTGGGCCTAGTATATGTAAAAAATTGGTCGTTCAATCAGACGACGTTACCACCAACAGCAAAAAAATCATTTGATTTTCGTCCCGTCTGCGGCCGGCATTTTTACTTCTGTCCCTTGCAGAGAGCTCTGCTATTATATTTTACATGAAAAGTATTGCGGTTTCCACATTGTATCCATTTCGGATAAAGATGTTTTTATTCGGATACAAATAGATACATTGTTGCAACCGCAAGACTTTTCATGTAAAATATAATAAGAGGACTGGAATTCTTCTTCTTCCCAACCTTACCAATAGAAAAAATGTGTCAAAACCCCGATTAAACGGCCAACCAATTAAACCACTAACGGTGCAAAGATTGGCCGATTTTTTTTTTTTTCGGATGATTTTCGACCCATCTATGGCCTGCATTAGATTGTAAGCTCCTTGACATTTATGAATACTCAAAATATGGAGATCAATTTCCAGGGTTCTGTCAGTGCCAGGAATATAGATCAATTAATTACAATTTTGGCTACTGACTAGAAAGTGGAAAGGGAGTGAATCTTACCTGCGTCCTGTTCTTCTGACAAGTTTGAAATTTTCAATTTTCCTTCTGTTTATATTTCATTACAACTTTATCTTCTCTAAGGCTGCGTTGGCACTTGCTTTGTCAGCAGGCATCAGACAGGCATTTGGGAAGCGTTTTTATGCTTCTCAATCGCCTATGAAAATTCTGCACATGGCAGCACACAGCGCTGTTCACACTGAAGCGTTAGCATTGCATCACGGCAAAACTGGCGCCTCATGTCGAGTCAGGAGGAGTTGAAGCCTCGCATTCAAGTCTATGGTGCCGCTCCCCAAATGCCTGGCAGACGTTTGCGATGTGATTGCGAGGATTTTTTGGAGCGTCAATACAATTTAACTTCATTACAGGCATTTGTGGTGCAGTTCTAACTCTTGGTAAATGCTTATCACATGCCTCAAAACCGCACATAGGTGTTTGGGGAGCATTTGAGGGAGCGTAACAAACGCTTCCCAGACACCTGTCCAATGCTATAGGGGCGTATGGCAAGAGTTAGAAATAAAGTCACGTGTGAAAGAGCCCTTAAATCTCTCTCCTTATACATCTTGACCCCACCCCCTCTGTCATCACCTGTCCCCCTTCCCCCTGTCATCACCTGTCCCCCACCCCCCTGTCATCACCTGTTCCCTCCCCCACCCCTGTCATCACCTGTTCCCCTCCCCCCCCCCTGTCATCACCTGTTCCCCTCCCCCCCCGTCATCACCTGTTCCATCTGCCAATCTATGTATCCCCGCCCCACTCTTTTTATGTAACTATTTATTGATCTTGTTAATGTGTCTCATTTCCTATCACCTCCAGCTCAGATCTCACATTATTATACGAATGCTGATTGTATCTCACCTCTAGTCTTATTGAATTCACAATTCCTGGTCAGTCCCGTTCCCTGACCTCTAATAACCTTTAGGGCCAGTTCACACTACATGTGTTTC